CCCCAAAACCCCAAAACCCCAAAACCCCAATACTAATACTTTAATGGAAAGAAGAGAATTATATGTAATTAGAAATTACTCAAAGAAACTCTCTTCTACAATAACTATCCTCTAAAAAGTGAAAGGGAATGAGCTTTCAGAGGAATTTCTTTGGCTAGGAAGAGGTGAGTCACAGTACGGATAATTTGCAAGTATGCCTTCATTATGCGAATTATCATACTCATTCTCGGTTGTGATGAGATGGTCACTATTATTGAGTTGATGAAGTGCTATATTCAGAACATCGCCAATTGGTTCATCTTCATTATCTGATAAATTACTAAAATCTAAATTTAAATTAGGATTGGCAGATGTACCATCTGAATGAGAGCTATGAGAGTATGAAAAACCGTAATCTCTTGAACCATCATCAATGTCTCTGACTAAATCAATTTGATTATTGTCATAATCAGGTTCTTCAAAATATTGATCCTCATTTTCCTTCTGATAAATTTTCTATAAATATAGTTTTCATTAAAGAAAGCTTATGATTACTTTTCTTCAGACTGGACAAGTGTTATGTTCTTTAATCCAGTCTCTGATGCAGCATTTGTGAAATATGTGGCTTCAATTGAAGAGGATTGATACTCCGTTGGTTTCAAAGTTTGTTAAAATCTCTTCCAAGTTGTCTTCTATATCTCTTTGTCTAACAACTCGGACGATATCTTTGGGTATATTTGAAGGCCAGTTCATTTTGGAGTCTAATCCAGATTTATTTTTACTCTTACCTAAGTGATAAAAGTACAATATGGCTATATCTTCAGAACTAGACGATCCAGAGGGTTCAGAGTCAACAATGCTGATTTGTTCTATCTGAAAACTCTTCAGCTTTTTTTTCAAAAGAGGGATCGCTTTTGTATTAATCTCATCAAAACTTGTAATACAAATTGAGCAGTCATAATCTATAAGTGACTTATTTAATGTATGTATAAAACTTACCTTCTTCATCTTCTTCACCTCTGGGTCAACCCCTCATACAACCTTGGGCAGAGTGACACCCAGTTCTTTGCTTCTCCTCTTCACAAATAGCATCTTTCCTCCCTCCTTCCTTATCAAAACCTCCTTCTCTCCTCTCTTCCTCTCCCTTATCTCTACACATCCACATTAACCCCTCCTCACCCTCCTTCCCTCTGCCCCTCCTCCCCTCCTTTCCCCTCCCTTTCCCCTCTTACAGAACCTTGGGCTCTCTTTCTTCCATCTGGGCCTAATAAAATCTATAATTTCAGCTAAAATTTCCCTATTTGGGGTTTTGGGGTTTTGGGGTTTTGGGG